TGCTTCCGCGTCGCAGCATTCGACCTTGGACACCCTCGCCAGCGTCGCCGGCGCGCCAACGCCGCACAAACACACCGTAGGGGGGAGAGGCCGGCTCGGCTCAGCTCCGGCGGGGAAACATCGGCCTGGAATCGGCGGTGTATCTCCGATAGATCGGGGTACACCACGCGAAATGGTTAAGAAATCATGGGTTAAGAAATTCATGGTCTCAGGACTTGAACAAAACCCAGAACTTCTATCAAAATCTTGGGAGTTACATGGAAACATTAAGAATAATCGAGACTCTGGCCGAAAACTTAAGCTTTCTTAAGCATCGCCTAAGGTGTAGACCCCCGATGGCGCCTCCGTACGCTCTTGGTCGGGGTGGGGCTATCGGGCCCCCGTCGACGATCCATGGGCGATCGGGGGTCGACGCGTCTCCCCCTGAGCCTTATCCTCCCCTGACGTTGCCCCTGATGGGAGATGGATCTGGAGGAAGAAAAACTTTCGGAACTCCGCACGGTTTTCTTTGATCGGCACTGGACCCCCTGGCGGCGCCTCCGGCTCCGCCCATGGCGCGCTCCGCGCGCCAGAAAGTTTCCGAATGTGTTTTTTGGTCTTATTCGATGATTGGCGAGGGAGGAGTGAGGAACGCGCGGTGGAGGGGGAGGGGCGAGGCGACCGGGAGGCGAGGGTGCAGCGACTGCGCCAGTGGCAGGGGCACCGACTGATGATCAATGATCCAGAGCTGCTCAATGCAAAGTTCCCACCTGGAACCACGCTCCCGCAGTGGCCCCCTGGGGCAGAAGACAGGAGAATGGGTAGGAGATCGGAAGAGGGGGCAGGATGTGAGAGGGCGGGGGGAACTGGAGCAGGGGAGACAAACCAGGGATCTTACAACATGTGCACACATTCCCCGTGCATTTCCTGTGCATCTTTCGGTTTCGTGCGTGTTTTTTTTTGCTCGATGGTCCAGGATGGTCCTCGCTGGTTCTCGCCGAGAAAAAATACACACGTCCGAGCGATGCCAGGAAGACCAAGCACACCCGCCCTCCTCGCAGGGTAAATCACCCCTCCCTCGTGAGCTCAGGACGCTGCGGGGCCCCTGCTCCAGGAGGCCCTTGCCACCGAAACGCCTCCGATCCCGCGGGAAGGGGGGGCACGTGCAGGACCAGGAGGGGAAGTGAGCTCGTCGTTGTGCTGCCACAGGGACCGAACAAGGAACGAAGGCTCCGGCCACGGCGAGGCTCGGCCACGAAAAGGCCCGAGGGCTTGGATCTGAAGAGCGGCGCGAAGGGGCTCCTCTTCGGCGGCAGTAGCGGGCGTTCTGGGGTGGGGGGCCGGGGGCGAGGGGGGGGGGGGTATGACGTAACCCCCCCCCCCCTCCCCCGACGTGTGGCTCCCGCACCACGAGAACCAATGTGCTTTTTTGTTATTTTCTGGGATGGCGGCCCCCCCCTAGATGACGTCACGTTCCGCGCCGGCGGCGTCCAGGAATGCCCAGGGATGACCGAATCCAACCAGGAGCAGCATGGAGGTGGCGATCTGCGCCTTGCGCCCGCGTGCACAACCGCGCTTGCGTGCACCGCATCCGCCGTGTGCAACGCAGCGCCCGTGTGCACCAGAGTGCTTGCGCGCACCGCAGCGCTGGTGTAGACCACAGCGAATGTTCAGTGGTGCCATTATACTGGCGAAGCTTTTGACGACAAAACGCAATTCAAAAAATTAAACGCTTAATCGCAAAATGCTCGGTATAGCGTTGGACCAATCGCGGCTGACTGAACGCGAAAACGCGAGCGCCCGCGCGATGCTCCTCGCTGCAGACTGAAGCCCCGATGGGCACCACGATCACAGCGTTTGGCGCGAAAGGGCGCGGACCGAATTGCCTGCCAATCGCGACGTTGCGATGAGGAACCGCTGCGCCAAAGACAGCGGCAGCGGTGCTACATCGAACAAACACCTTGGAGCAAGTATCATTGCGACAGCGACATCAAAGGCGCCATTACGTTCAATGACACATTGGAGGTCGCGCAACCACGCGCGAACCCCACGCGGCACTACAGCGCGCAACCGCATGATGAACGCAAACTGCACAAGCCAACGCGATGCGCGTGCCTGCGCGCGCTAACCCACAACCAGTGGCTCGCACGTGCGCGCGCGCACGTTCGAGGGCGATGGCATCGCCAGAAGTCGCGGCGCGATGGCAACTGGCTGTGCAAATTTGCAGGTCGCCAGGCGCACTTCTGAAAGTTCTTGGGGTCGCAAAACCATAATGAAAACCGCGCCGCGCATCCAAAGCGACGCGATCACGCGAGTAGGGCCGCCCGCGCACGGCAAGGCGCGAACGCAAGCCCAAGCTGGAAAAAAAACAGCGAGGCATGGAATCGGATTGCAACGGGCGCTGGTTTTCAGGGCGCGCTAAAAACGCATCGCGCGTCGAAGCGCGACCGCCAACAGTCAGCTATGAGGCTGGGCACCCTCGCTGGGAACGGTCAGAACTCAAGAGCAGCGGCCAGGAATTGATGGGCGCCTCGAACGGCGGCGACAACAAAAAAACACATCCTCTCGTCGCCGCGCGGCGCAAGAAGCGGCGCAGTCGACCGCGCACGTCCGCGCCGCGCAGATTAGCGCAAGACGCGACGCACAACGAAGGGATTGAAAGCCCGCTCGCGCGCGCACGCGCGCACGCCGCAAAGGCGGGAGCGCGCCTCCGCGGGCCTGCGCGCGTTCCGAAGGGCCGACAGCGCGCGCCAGCGCAGCCTGCGCACTGGGCGTCGACCCACCGCGGAGACGACGTCGACGCAGAGGGTTCTGTGGAGCCAGAATACTTGAGCCAGAATGGTCGGATCCAAAATTGCAACAGAGGGGGGGGGGCGCCGGGGGCGGCGGGGGGGGGCAGGAGCGGAGGGTTTGGCGGGGCGGGGGCCGGAGGCGCAGCGGGGGGACGCAGAGTAGAGCGCGGCGAGGGGGGGAAGGGGGTCGGAGGGGAAGGAAAGGAAGGCCGCCACCATGCTTTCGCACGCAGGGGCGCGTGAAAACGCTTCGCGCTTCCATTTGGGATTATTTCCAACGTTCTCTAAGGCGTATGATGTACTTGCAGTTCGACAGGATATGCAATCGCACCCCGTTTGGCGCGCGCAATGCGTCTGGTTAGTGTCATCGAGGCCACGGCCGTGCATAAGTGACACAACAGCCGCCCCGTCTCAACAACCATCTGTTTGATCGTTTCAACCCCCGCGCGCCCCAATCCAATGTTGGCCCTACGCTGCCCGACAAGTTCCAAAGCGGGCCCCGAGACGGCCGCGCGTGGCCCCGAGGCGGCGCAGGAAGACATCGCGACGGCCCCTTGGGGATCCCAGAAGGCGCGCCGCGACCAGCTAATCCTTTGATTCCGCACCGACAAGACCCACGAAGGACGCACGAGGCGGCGCAAACGCGCGCAAGGATATCCGAGGGCCCCCACCACAGCACCGAAAGACAAATACTATTGATCTATCCTTGATTATATTCAAGATGTGGAGGTCCGCACCTTTCGGGCTCCCTGGCGCCCCAGGGCGGCCTTCGAGGTCCCCAAAGACCACTCCGAGACGGCCAACGACCCCTCAGAAGACCGCCCGATTGTCGGAGAGGGCCCCGAGACGGCCCATAAATCATCATAGATTATCAAACGACGCCCACAGGCGGTCTCGAAAGGAGTCCGCGAATAGGAAAAGCACTCAACCCGCGGCCGCCCAGGCGGCCCA